GAAATTCAGGTTGCCTGTCTACACTGCCTTCTTGTGGATGATGTCTTGAGCAAAAGGGCTTATTCCTCGTGGGGAGAGGAATGACTCTTCCAGGAGAAGACCTGTTTTCCAACGCTAGACTGTAAATTTACTTGCACAAGAACAGATGTGCAGTGTAGACACCCAGGAAGTTTTTCCCTGACATCCCCCATGAGAACTAATGCATCCCTGCACACCAGGCTGGATAACCAGACTCTCCTTTGCACAATTTGGCTACGTCTATACTGCAGGCATTTTGCGCAATAACTGTTTTGTGGAAGAGCTATTGTGCACAAAATCTTCCACAACAGAGCGTCTACACGGCCATGTGCTTTTGCACAAGAGCATCCATGGCAGGGTGGATGCTCTCTTGCGCAAGAAATCTCTGACAGCCATTTTAACCATAGGGGCTTCTTGCGCAAGAAATTCAGGTTGCCTGTCTACACTGCCTTCTTGTGGATGATGTCTTGAGCAAAAGGGCTTATTCCTCGTGGGGAGAGGAATGACTCTTCCAGGAGAAGACCTGTTTTCCAACGCTAGACTGTAAATTTACTTGCACAAGAACAGATGTGCAGTGTAGACACCCAGGAAGTTTTTCCGCAGCAGGGGGCAGGAGCGACTCTCAGCCGGGAGCAGGTGCCAATAACCCACCGTCCATTCACCAGCAGGGAGAGAACCCGGCAGCGAGCGAGAACATGGACGTAGACAGGCATCCCTGGACTCAACAGTTCACAAGATCAGTGACACAACAGAGGCTGCTAAGTTCAAGGTAGGAAATAACTAGGTGATGTGACGGCTCCCGCTGCTCACAGGGGTCCGGTTGCCTTCTTGTGGATGATGTCTTGAGCAAAAGGGCTTATTCCTCGTGGGGAGAGGAATGACTCTTCCAGGAGAAGACCTGTTTTCCAACGCTAGACTGTAAATTTACTTGCACAAGAACAGATGTGCAGTGTAGACACCCAGGAAGTTTTTCCGCAGCAGGGGGCAGGAGCGACTCTCAGCCGGGAGCAGGTGCCAATAACCCACCGTCCATTCACCAGCAGGGAGAGAACCCGGCAGCGAGCGAGAACATGGACGTAGACAGGCATCCCTGGACTCAACAGTTCACAAGATCAGTGACACAACAGAGGCTGCTAAGTTCAAGGTAGGAAATAACTAGGTGATGTGACGGCTCCCGCTGCTCACAGGGGTCCGGTGTCGCCGCGTTTTCTCCCTTCTCCGCGGGCCGGGCAGTGACAGCGCAAACGCTCTGGGACCAGACGCTCAGACCCCTTTGGATTTAGCAGCGTCCCAGAGCTGCAGGGGGGTCCCGTCAGCGTGCGGCTGGGCCGGCCCCCGGCACGGCAATTGCTCCTGGCCGCTGGGAGCTCCCGTTCTGCCGCCGGGGCTGGGGGGGCTTGTGCTGCAAATGTGGGGTCTGTGTCGGAGCTCCCCAAGTCCAGCGCGTCTCCCCCTGCTCCCTCGCACAGGCAGTGACACACACAGCAGCTGCTCAGAACTTTTCCAAACTCTCACAGCTGTTTGTGGCAGAAGGACTGGAAACGGGAGGCTCCGTCCTTCACCCGCGGAACGTCACTGGCTTCCCCTGGGCTCAGACACTGAACGGAGCCAATGAGACACGTGACCCTCCTCCCCCTGCACTGCCCCTAGCCCTGGGGAGGGCTGGAACAACATCACCCCAGACCCTGCCTCTTTCCACTGGCCCTTGCTCTGGCACTGTTCTGCCTCCTGCCCGGCCTCTCCTCCCAAGCCCTCTCCCCTGAGTGACCCAGGTGATCCATGGGGCTAGAGGTCTGTTGCCAGCAGCAGCAGTGGGGCACCCCACACTCCCCATCAGCAGTGGGGGGGGAGGAAATGGAGCCCCCCCTGCTCTGGTCCCAGAGCTCCCCGCTGTGTCCGGCTGCTTCAGGCCCTTTCTGTGGGTTGCTGGGACGGGCCCCTCACATTGTCCACCAGGAAATTCAGAGCAAGCAGCCGCCGCAGGAAGCCCAGACGGGCAGCCGCTGCAGCCAGGGAGAAGCCACCCAAAGATTCTGGGGAAGCCCCAGGCAGCTGGGAGAACCGAGGGGCCCGGTCGTGTAAAGCACGTGGAGACGGCTGGCTCCAGCCAGCAAGAAGCCGTCGAAAGGGCCGGGGAAGCCCCACAAGAGGCAGCTGGGAGAACCGAGGGGCCCAGTCGCGTAAAGCACGTGGAGACGGCTTGTGTCACTGCCGCTCCCCAGGGTCTCTGCCTGGGAATTTCCAACCGACGCACGTTGGGGATTCTCGCTCCCCCCGACACTCCTGCACTTCTGTGAGCAGAACCCCTGAGCCGCGAGAGACACGGAAACCGCCCGGCAGGCCCATCGGTGGCAAGGGGCCATGGCGAGAAAACAGCTGTGGCCGTGCTGGAGGGAAATTCCAGCTCCGCCAGCCCCTTCCCCTCCTCTCTGCTCAGACCTTCTCCCCGTGGGAGGGGAGGGGATGGACGCCAAGGGGGGTGGTTTCCGCAGGGCAGAGGGTGACGCAGTCCCCAGCGCGTCAGGGGGAACGTTCTGATGGAATCTCATCTCGGTGCCTCTTCTCTCCCTGTTTCCCGGCAGGTGGATGTGAAGAGCCTCGTGAGGAGGTGGGTTTGTGAATCGCTCTGCAGGGCGCCGGGGAAACCTCCCGCCCCTCGGGAATCACAGCATGAAGAGCTGTGGACAGTGTGTGAGAGACCCAGAGACGAGCTCCTGTCCCGTCTCCTGCCGCCCCCCACCCGCCCCGCTCTGATCCCCGTCCCTCTGGGGAATCACTGCAGTCCCATTGCACGGGGAGGGTGCAGAGTGACCAGACAGGAGGGGAAATAGGAGACACGTCTGGCGTTGCCTCCCCGCTGACTCTCCCGTCCCCCTGTGACCTCCGGGCCAGGAGCTCAACGTCCCTCCCTTCCCCCTGGTGCCGGTGGGTGGGTGGTGAGAAGGCGCCAAGTGCTGACGGGAAATTCTGTGTCTAGGTTTGGAGAGTTGCTGTCTCGAAGTGCAGCGGTGCTCCGTGTTGGGAGACGGAAGGAGCATGTCTCTCCCGCAGGGCAGGGGGTCAAGGAGCTCAACGTCCCTCCCTTCCCCCTGGTGCCGGTGGGTGGGTGGTGAGAAGGCGCCAAGTGCTGACGGGAAATTCTGTGTCTAGGTTTGACAGCCCAACGTCTCCAGCCCCGTCGCAGGTCTCTGCGGGGGACCAGGCCGGTGTCTCTCCTGCAGGGCAGGGGGCCGCCCAGACCGAGTCGGGGGGTGACACAGGTGAGCCGGGGCCCTGCGCCGTGGGAAGGTGCCGTGGGCTGGGTTTGGTGCTTGGCTCTGTTACGGGAACGGGGCCTCCCCGGGGGAGTGACAGGGGGGGACAGAAAGGGGCCCGGCCCGGTGAGAAGGTCTCGCTGCATTCGCGTCAGTCCCTCCATTCGCTAAGGCCTGGCCGGTGTCTGGTAACCGGGCCCGTCCCTTGCTGGTGGGGCAGGGCCCTCGCCTGTCCCTGCCCTGGGGATACAGCCCCTGGGCCCTCCCCCACTCTTCCCTCCCCTCCCCACTCACCGCATGGGTGGCAGGAGCCAGAGCATCCCAGCAGCCTGTCCCTCCTGCTGCACAGCCCCCCTGGCCAGGGGAGGGCTCTGGGGCCGGAGCACCCTGAGTCCCATGGTGGGGGGAGGCGCAGCAGGCAGAGAGAGGGTGGGAGGCAGTGGAGCAGACCAGGCTGCTACATCAATCGGGCTTCCCCTGCCTGTGGGGTGAGTGGGGAAGGGAGTCGAACCTGCTGCCCTCCCACCAGCCCCCATCACACCCCGGGTCCGTCCCGTCGCTGGGATGGCTGAGACGGCCACTGCAAGGCCCCCAAATGCAGGGGCGGCTGCCCTCACTCTCTCTGCGGATGGGTTCGGAAGCTGGAGTGCAGAGTGTGTGTGTGGTGTTAGGTGTGTGTGTTGTACAGTGTGTCTGGTGTTAGGTGTGTGTGGTGTACAGTGTATGTGGTGTTAGGGGTGTGTGTGTGTGTGTGTGTGTTGTACAGTGTGTCTGGTGTTAGGTGTGTGTGGTGTACAGTGTATGTGGTGTTAGGGGTGTGTGTGTGTGTGTGTGTGTTGTACAGTGTGTCTGGTGTTAGGTGTGTGTGGTGTACAGTGTATGTGGTGTTAGGGGTGTGTGTGTGTGTGTGTGTGTTGTACAGTGTGTCTGGTGTTAGGTGTGTGTGGTGTACAGTGTATGTGGTGTTAGGGGTGTGTGTGTGTGTGTGTGTGTTGTACAGTGTGTCTGGTGTTAGGTGTGTGTGGTGTACAGTGTATGTGGTGTTAGGGGTGTGTGTGTGTGTGTGTGTGTTGTACAGTGTGTCTGGTGTTAGGTGTGTGTGGTGTACAGTGTATGTGGTGTTAGGGGTGTGTGTGTGTGTGTGTGTGTTGTACAGTGTGTCTGGTGTTAGGTGTGTGTGGTGTACAGTGTATGTGGTGTTAGGGGTGTGTGTGTGTGTGTGTGTGTTGTACAGTGTGTCTGGTGTTAGGTGTGTGTGGTGTACAGTGTATGTGGTGTTAGGGGTGTGTGTGTGTGTGTGTGTGTTGTACAGTGTGTCTGGTGTTAGGTGTGTGTGGTGTACAGTGTATGTGGTGTTAGGGGTGTGTGTGTGTGTGTGTGTGTTGTACAGTGTGTCTGGTGTTAGGTGTGTGTGGTGTACAGTGTATGTGGTGTTAGGGGTGTGTGTGTGTGTGTGTGTGTTGTACAGTGTGTCTGGTGTTAGGTGTGTGTGGTGTACAGTGTATGTGGTGTTAGGTGTGTACGGCTTTCATCTGCCCTGCAGACCCAGCCAGGACCCAGGTGCCGGCTGGCCAGGCTCTGGGGGAGGGTGGGGAGCAGTTTGGGGGAGAGGTGGGTGATCTAAGGTCGTTATGGGGAAGGGGGTGACGGGCAGGAGGGACAGTGCTCCAGGCCAGACACTGGGGCTGAATAACCCCCCTGTCAATGCCCCTCGCAGGGAGAGGAGGGCGAGGGTCTCAGGAATCGAGAGCAGCTGCCGCTGGTGTCCAAAGACGGGTCCACAGTTCCCCCGTGCGTCCCCAAAGACCTAAGTCTCTGCCTCCCTCACGGATACAGGTGCAGGTAGGTTGTGTCACCGTCACACTGCTGGGGTGGGGGGGTTAGGTAGCCCAGGAGCCTCTGCTCCCATTCACCGTGTGGAGGGCAACAGTGGCCGCCAGACAACTGAGCAGCCAGCCAGCCCCTGAGCTGAGCCCCCTGCCGCAGGTGCCAGACTGTGTGTAGGGGGGCACCACTAGGACGCAGAGTGCAGAACATCATGTCTGCTGCTGGTGCAGACGTAGGGAGAGGAGCAGTCCCATGAGAGGAGGAGAACAGGAAGGAGGCAGAATTGAGACCTTTCCATGTTTGGGCCCAAGCAAGAGGGCTATGGGGGCGTCATCTAAGCTCCCTGCCTCAGGTGCAGGGGCCGGCCCTGGGGGTGGGGGTGGGAGGGGAG